TATCAGCGTCAAATCCCAGAGATGCAGGAGGTCCTGAGATCTCCCAGAAATAAGGTCCAGGGCAACGGGGGGTCAGTTACTCTCAGGCCTCCTGGGCTTGCTTCTGCTTCCTCCCTAGCTCTGCAAGTCTATGAAACTGTCTTCTGGGTCTGGTGCCCAGTGTCACCTACCGCTCTAGCTTTTCCAAGACTTGTAAGAACATAGTTGGAGGAATTAAGAGTCATTAGTGAGGGGAGGAAAGAGGAAGGAACGGAAATGAATTAAAAATTTCACACAGAGAAAGTATGAGTCACCCACCTCTTGATGGGTAACTACCCTTTTAAATTGCATCTTGTGAAAACAGCCAAGGAGCATTAAAGATTGAATGCAAAACTCCTCCTGGGCAAAGCTGATTAAAAAGGAATAAAACTATTTTAAAGGTTGTTCTAAGTTATCTGGCAGCATTTGCATTCTGGTGAATGGGTGACTCAGATCCCACCCTGGTCCTTTTCATCTCCAGAGCTGTGATTGTTACAGGATGACAGTCACCAGTAATTGTTGCTCTCTGGAGACTACTGAAGAGTCTCAGTCTGGCTGATAGCAGTAAGTGATTAGGACATTGCTTGATTTAATGAGCCTTCACAGAAACCATACCTGCTTTGTCCTTGAACTCCGTTTATTCAGTTTTCCAATTTTTCCATCTGCAGAGATCTAATGCACTGCCGCTGCTAATGCCAGAAATAATAGCCAGGCTCTCCTTGCTGTGGATTTTCTTTACCTAACTCCTACTCTTTCAAGTAAGAATCAACAACTGAATCAGGTGGGGTGGGGAAACTATGGCTTAAAGGCCACGTGGTCCTCCAGATCCCCAAGTGTGGCCCTTCAACTGAATCCAAACTTCACAGAAAAAAAAATCCTTTTATTAGAAGGATTTGCTCTGTAAAATTTAGATTCAGTCAAAAGGCCACATTCAAGGACCCCGAAGGCCACATGTGGCCCCAAGGATGCAGGTTCCCTACCCCTCCCAAAGCAAGGATGCCTCAGGCAATATAGTAGTAAATCATGACCTTAATTTAAACTGACTTTTAACCTTAAACACTGTTGACTCATCTGTCACAATATATACATTTTAACCTAATTTAAAAACTGAGAAGCCCATAAGAACAATAAAACACACATATAGTCTAGCAAGGGGGAGGAGCGAGGAGGGAGAGGGCAGGAGGAGGGGGAGGGAGAGGGCAGGAGGAGGGGGAGGGAGATTGGCAGGAGGAGGAGGAGGGAGATTGGCAGGAGGAGGAAGGGCAGTCGGCGGGATCTCACCTAATGAGCACAATGGGAGGGTGTTCAGCAACTTCTACAACTTGAACTTTACCTTGGAAGCGAGAACAATGTAACCTAAAAGTTTGTACCCTCATATTAATTTGAAATTACAAAAATTTCTTTAACCTAACTTAAAAGTAAGCACTAAAAAAAACCCTTGCTAATGAAAGTTAGCATTCATCTATGTAGCTAGCAATTAAAGACAACTAAAATTGACTAATAGCAAAATAAACATGAAGTTCATCACCTTACACCTAAGAAAGGTGAGCTACAGAGGTAAACCCGCCTGTTTTATGAAAGATGAAGATACTTTATAGGTAAAGGCACTGTACAAGATAATGCAGAGAACAGCCAGGCAAACTCCAGACACTCTGAAGTGAACACACATCATGTCAAACCCCTCTCTCTGGGGCTCTTTATTTCACAATGATGCTAACATTTGAAAATAATTTTCTGTCTCTAGTTATACCACAAGCCAGACTATATTTCTTCAAAGAATACAAAGTCTCCTTCAAAACAAATGCCAACTCTGTCATGTAGTGTCACAGTAACCCAGCAAACTCTGTCCAAGTGGCCCTTTAGCTCAGATTACCTCGTCCAAGTATAGAGACAAGAGAAAAAGAGCAAAACATGTAAGGTTGGGTTGGTGGAGTTCAGCGAAACATTTAGGATGGCTTTACGACTCCCACATTGTAATTTTATTACTTCCCAAGAGCCATTCATGAGATTTGTTGCAATGGAGACTCAAATCATATAGAAATTTTTATATAAAAGTAAAGTGTTTGCTGCCCTCTTCAGGTGAATTCAAGAATAGCATTAAAACACTGCTGGCTTTGCCTACTCCATTCCGGAAAGAGGTTTTCTCCTCTAAAGGTTTTCTCTTCCTACAAATACGTGGTGACCTGAAGATGGCTGGCTGCAGTACATAGCTCCAGTTTCACCCCAGTAACACACAACTTATGTTCAAGTACCACGAGGCACTAGACAATTTCTGCAAAAATAAAGCTAAAGCATCCATCAAGAATAAAGCGGCATTTTAAAAGTTTCAATTGATGAAAACATCAAACCAGCAGATCAAATCACTGTGCAGATCTCAGGTGGCCTGCTTCACACAGCCCAGGGGAGCCAACCTGCAGGCTGCGAACAGCTCACTGGCAAACTCTTGTGGGGAGGAAGGGCAGGTCTAAGATACTTACAGCTCAATCTCACTTAATATGCAAGATCTTCAACCTCAGAAAGGAGTGTGTATGCTTGGGTAGAAAAATGTAATGGTCTTCACAGACCCTCCTGTCAGGGAATTTTCAGAGGTTAACAAATTGTAGTCAGTAACCCTCTGAGGAACCACTGTCCTTCCACTGACTCAGGGCTTTGAATTAATTCAAAGGTTTTAGTTTTTTGGAGACAGTCTCACTTTGTGCCCTTTGTAGAGTACCATGGCGTCATAGCTCACAGCAACCTCAAACTCTTGGGCTTGAGCAATCCTCTTCCCTCAGCCTCCTGAGTAGCTGGGACTACAAGCGCCAGCCAAACACCCACCACAACACCCGGCTATTTTTAGAGACAGGGTCTCGCTCTTGCTCAGACTGGTCTTAAACCTGTGAGCTCAGGCATCCACCTGCCTCAGCCTCCCAGAGTCCTAGGATTACAGGCGTGAGCCACTGTGCCTGGTCATCAAAAGTTGTTTTTCTTCAAATCTTATTTTATCTAAGCTACACTGTGATTTTTCAGTACTATTAATAGGAATGAGTTTGATTACATCATTACTCCTTTAAAGTCTGAAGCCTTCAGCATTTTGCTAAGTGTGACTCACATTCATGAATGATCAAAGTTTTGAATGAGGAGTAAAAATACAGTCACCCTCTTATCCGCTATTGAACTCCCATAGGAGGAAGAGATCGCACTGCTACACGTCCAGATTGGCAGACACAGAATCCATCTGTCATTCTCCAGAGTACATCACACAAAAGGAGGCTGCCGTCTGTCCCCACACACTCTCCCAGCTGCCAAGCTTTTTACTCACACCCCTTGAGTGACCCTTGGTATTTACTTAAACTTATGAAAAAGCCCATCTATTCTTTTCACTTTTACAAACTCCAGGAGAGCAAAGGAAGTTAAGGGCATGGGGAAGTAAGGAGGACACAAAAGATGTCCTGTCCCCATCTCCAAGGTCATTAGCTATCAATATTTGATTTACAAATTATTGTTCACTCAAAATTCATTCATTTACTTAGGCCTATTGAGCAACAAGGGCTGCCTTAAGTACAGGGTGATGAAACTACCCTTAACTTCATTCAAAACTTGGTCCTACTCCTCAGCACATCTCTAAGAGGTGCCATGGTCTGAACAATCTCATAATTAGCAATACGACCCTCCCCCCACATGAGAAAGAGAAGCCAGAGAAAAGCCTGGAGGTGGTAGGGGAGGTGACAAGGAAGTCAGACCATGTTCCTTCCAGCATTTTCAGACTCTGATGATATACACCCATGTGTATATACACAAAGACACACTCACACATACAGACGCTCAGATTTTTACAACTAGCACAGTTTCTAGCATTATCCATTATCTAGCAAAGTCCAGGGTCTGAAAGCAAAGCTGCCTGGAATTTATATCCCCAATCTACCATCTACCTGTGCAAGTTAGTTAATTGTCCTGCGGTTTCCTCACCTATAAAACAAGAATAGTCTGAATACTCGGGCCGGGCTGGGTGCAGTGGCTCATGCCTGTAATCCCAGCACTCCAGGAGGCCAAGGAGCCTCACAGGTTTGAGACCAGCCTGAGCAACAGTGAGACCCCGTCTCAAAACAAACAAACAAAAAGAGCCTGGCTTGTGGCAGATGCCTGTAGTCCCTAATACTTGGGAGGGTGAGGTAAGAGAATCACTTGAGCCCAAGAGTTTGAGGTTGCTGTGAGCTCTGACGCCATAGTACTCTATCAAGGGCAACAAAGTGAAACTGTCCCAAAAAAGAAAAAAAAATGCATGATTTTCAGAATGAGTCAATGATCCTGCTGTGGTTTGAACAACTGTCCCCTTCAATATTTGTGCTGACATTTAATCACCGTGGTAGCAGTTGTAAGTGAGAGGTACCACCTATGAGAGGTGATTAGTTTTCAAGCTCTCTGCTCTCATGGGCGGGATTAATGCCATCATGGAAGGTAAGTTAGACCCCCTTTTGCTTCTCTTCCCTTCTGCCCTCGCCAGGCGCCAGCGCTTCTCCATGTTGGCCTTCCCAGCCTCCAGAACTGTGAGGCAATAAGTTTCTGACCATTATGAAGACCCACTTTCAGGTATTCTGTTTATACCAGCACAAAACAGACTAATATCTCAATCATAAGCAGACATTACTTGTTATTAAATAATAGTTACTAATAAATTAAGTTTGTAAATAATATTAATAGCACCTTGTTTTGTTGATAAAGAGCACCTCTAGTTCTCTTCCTGCATGTGCTGGAAACTCAACTAACTCAATCAAAACCACGCCTATAGTTCAGACCAGCCTTGGGTTGGAAGTATCTTCACCGACCATCTCTTTATTTGAAAATACCATTATATCAACAGACCATATTCACCTTTTTTTATTGTCAGTGGAAATAATGCTTTCCTAAAAAACAGGAAAGATAAGAAGACTATGGACGTAGAGCAGAAAGAATTCTCACAGGCAACCATGTTAGAGACTACGATAAAGTAAGAAATTTCTTACTTGACTGCCTCGTAAATATTGTTAGAAGTATGTCCGGATAAGGCATCATGTAAACTTCGAATAAAATAATCTCTGTATTCTTCTGGAAGGGCCATAAACGTTCCACCCATCACGATAAACTCTACTTTATCCACACTGTGCCCAAGTTGTTTTAACTGAAAGACATAAAAATTCATTAGCATTACATAGATGTAAGCAACTTCTTTAAGAAGGCACTACAAGTCTCTCATTTTATTTGGCAGTATTTTCATAAATATAGTTTAACAATGGGAAGCAATTTAACATATTTAGCTAATTCTGTCATTAAAAAATACTCGAGTCTGAGAGAAAAAAAATAATTATAGCTCAATTAAGGAGGGAGAGTGAAAATTAAAAATAATAAACAAGAAGCTTGACTTGAATACCTATAGAGTTAAGTGGAAATCTAAAAACACCAGGAATATAAACTAGAAAACAATAAAGACAAATACTATGTATACAAAAGAATAAATGTTTATTGATCACGTATTTTATGCCAGACTTTGCGGTAAGCCTTGGGGGCAAAAAAGATGCACTTGGGACTGTGCAACCATTATACATGTACGATCATGCCACGTGGTCAGGACTTGATGCAGTGGAAGAAAAAACCGTAGATTAGAAAGGAAAAAGGTCAAGGAAGCAGCTTAAAATGGACTGGAGGAGATGGCTCCTTAAGCCTGCTTTCTGGAAAAAAAAAAAAGCAAAAGTCTGATTGATTAGAAAGTGAAATTCTAGTTCTCCCCTACTAAGGTTTAGAATGGTATAAATCTTTCATTGTGTCAACTACAAGGAGCCAAGATTCAAAGTTTTAAAAACAGGTATTTAAATTTCTTACCATATCTTAGGTTCGGAAAAAAGAGAGTTAAGAACATTACCAAACTATAAACTAGAATGAACATTGTATATAAAAGAGATCTATGCTTAATAGGAACAAAAAGACATATTTTTAAACTTGTTTTTAAAAATGGCATGTAACAATTTATACAAAATATACACAAACACACGTGAACACACATTTCAATGCTAACAGAAGGCTCTATTTCTCTATCTAGGGTTTTTTACAAGAGATACACACCAAGATCACCCTGGTAGTTTTTTCAGAACATCCTGCTAGGACCTGAAGGAGACTTAACTGGAACCTCCAGAGGTGACAAAGTAGCCATGTTTTGGAACTTACTGACTGTGGCATATATTACTTTTTTTTTTTTTAATTAAATCATAGCCATGTACATTAATACTATCATGGGGTACAGTGTACTGTTTCTGTATACAATTTGAAATACTTTCATCCAACTGGTTAACATAGCCTTCATGTCTTTTTCTTAGTTATTGTTAAGACATTTATATTCTACATTTAGAGAGATTCACATGTACCCTTATAGCATGAACCATAGGCATGATCCCACCAATCACCCTCTCTCCACCTACCCTCCCTCTTCCCTTCCCCTTCCCTCTCCCCATATTCCTGGGCTAAAATTGGGTTATAGCTTTCCTATGAAAGCTATAAATTAGTTTCATGGTAAGGCTGAGTACATTTATCTTAGATTTTGAATTTGCCCCACTATATGTTAAACGATAGACAGTGCTTTATGTTTTTAAAACTGGACAAGTTGAAACTAAACTTGTAAACAAAATCTGTTTTCATGTTCAGATTACTTCAGCAGTGTAAGGTCATTTTATATAGTATTTGTTTTTAATCAGCTATATTGAGATATAATTTATATACAATAAGATCAACTAACTTGAAGTGCATAATGGATGCATTCTGATAGATGTTTAGAGTTAGGTAACCACCACTACGATCATGATCAGAGCAATCGCATAACCCCCCCAAAGCTCTTGTAACCCTCTGGATTCAATTCCCTATTCCCACCTGGTCAACCAATTGCAATACTTCTCGATCTGGCTTTTGGAAGATAAAATTCAACCCAATCACCTTTGTCTAAGAATTTTCACACACCTTCCCTCCCAAAATTTCATACTATAAATGATGTTCTATAAAGTTAAAGAAATTTAGAAAGCATCAAATCCTCAAAAAACTAAAAACAGTCTCTAAATAAGTAGCATTTTTGATCTCGCTGGGCACTGCAAAACAGTCTCCTACCCTCAGACAAATATTAAAAACTTACAAGAAGAAAAATACCTTTGTAGTTCTTATTTCAGTTTCAATCCAAATCAAGCAATGGTAACTTCTTACTAACTATAAACATCTAATTTTTAAAAGATGCTCTTAAAAAATGTACCTGTTCTATTCGGTGTCTTGTCTGCAGATAAGGGTCATATCGGGCACGGATAGCTCGCATGGAGGTTGGCTAAGAGAAAAAGAGAAATATTTTATGTTCACATCAAATTAAATATAAAAAGTGAGTGGTGCTCGTAGCACAGTGGTTATGGCGCCGGCCACATATAACGAGGCTGGCGGGTTCAAACTGGGCCCAGGCCAGCTAAACAATGACAAGTGCAACAACAACAACAACAAAATACTGTGTTTCCTCGAAAATAAGGCCTACTCAAAAAATAAGCCCTAGCAGGATTACTATGCATTTGTTAAATATAAGCCCTATCCCATAATAAGACCTAGTGATGGGCATGGCTATGCAGCATATCTGCATACCCACGCCACGCATGTCAGTGTGGAGAGGAAGGCATCCCCTGAAAATAAGCCCTAGTGTGTCTTCTCTTTTTTTTTTTTTTTTGAGATGGAGCCTCAAGCTGTCCCCCTGGGTAGAGTGCCATGGCATCACAGCTCATAGCAACCTCCAACTCCTGGGCTCAAGCGAGTCTCCTGCCTCCGCCTCCCAAGTAGCTGGGACCACAGGCGCCCGCCACAACGCCCGGCCATTTTTTTAGTTGCGGCCGTCATTGTTGTTTGGCGGGCCCGGGCTGGGGATTCGAACCCACCACCTTAGGTGTATGTGGCTGGCGCCTTAGCTGCTTGAGCCACAGGTGCTGAGCCCCTAGTCTGTCTTCTTGAGAAAAAATAAATATAAGACTGTGTCTTATTTTCAGGGAAACATGGTAGCTGGGCCTTGCAGTGGGCACCAATAGTCCCAGTTACTTGGGAGGCTGAGGCAAGAGAATCACTTAAGCCCTTAAGAGTTTGAGGTTGCTGTGAGTTGTGCAGCACTCTACCCAGGGCAACAGCTTGAGACTCTGTCTCAAAATAAAAAAATAAATACAAATAAATGTAAAAAGTAATTTCAGAAGGATTGCATTAGAAATAAAAGTCTCTATGGTCTTGAATCCTAAAAACCTGGCTTGTACCTACATTCCTTTCTTGGTTCAGTCCTGAGTAGCATCTGGTTGATCTCCGCTGCCCATGTGACAGTTACGTGAACACTTATGGAATATCCTGGGTCACCCAAGTGTTCTACTACTCAGAGACACTGATGTGTATGCATTATTCAAAAGAGTTATGTAGCAAAATAACTTTTAAATAAGGTTCTTAAACACAACACAGTTTGTCATGGCCTAACAAATAGACTTTATACTCTTGTCACACAATGGAATATGAGACAGTCTCCCAGTGTTGCCCTCCGTAGAGTGCTGCAGCAGCTCACAGCAACCTCCAACTCTTGGGCTTAAGCAATAAAAAAGGAAAACATACGTGAGAAGAAATAGTCATGTGATTTCCGGGCTTCTGACCTCTTCTCAGGAGGGGCCTCCTGTAAAAGCAGCTCACTGGTCTCCTACTTTCCTCACTCTAACCTTTCTCTGCATGGCCATCAAAATGATCTCTAAAAAACCTAAACCAGGTTGTATCATCCCCTTACTTTAAATCCTAATAGCTTCTCATGATACCTTCGGTAAAATCCAGAGTCTCCCCTCAGCGGTCTGTCCCCAGCCTCTTGCTTCCCCTCACCCGCAGTGTTCCAGAATTCCACCGTGTTCCTCCACCATCTGTCCCGCTCAGGCCTTTGTTCTCGCTACTTCTCTTTCCTGACAGCCTTCCTCCTTTTCCCTCAGGACTCAGTTTGAGTAACGTGTCCTTAGATAATCCCTTCCTAACCACCCAAGTTAAACTAGCTCCAGCTCCCATTCTTACTTAATTTTACTTCTCTGCTTAGCCTTTATTAGCATCTGAGATTTCTCTTGTTTGTTTCCTTACTGTCTGTCTTTCATTATAAGAATGTCAATTCCACAGAACTGAGGACCTTGTCACCTTTTTCACTGACAGTACAATGTAGTGGTTTGAAGCACAGCATTCAACACCTGGTTGTCACATATTAACAATGTGTCTCTGGGCCTTCTGGGCCTCAGTTTCCTCATGTGTAGGCTGGGATAGTAATACTCTCTCTTGAAAATACTGTAAGGTCAAAGTTAAAAAGCACTTAGAACAGTGCTGGGATATATTAATAATAAGGGCTTATGTAAGTATTTCTCCAGTGACTAGAATAAGATACGGCACTCACAGACACAGATTCATTTAGTGACACAGTAGACATATTTAGTGAATGAATGAATAACTTTTATAATCAGAAAAAAATTTTTTTAAGAAAGCCAGTATTTAGATATTGGCAGCGCCTGTGGCTCAAAGGAGTAGGGTGCTGGCCCCATATGCCAAAGATGGTGGGTTCAAACCTAGCTCCGGCCAAAAACTACAAAAGAAGAAAACCAGTATTTGTAAAACCATACCATGGATAAAGTATGATTTAACACTTCCTCAGGACACCCTCAAATCACTTTACCTCGTATCCAGTATAAGACTGTGTTGAATACTCAAAGTCTGAGTCAGGCCCTCCGGGGCAGTATCTGCCGACACAAAAAAGGAACAAAATGTCAGACACAAAACTTTGTTCAACAGTCGAGTTTAATTATCTATAGTCTTCATAAAATCCTGATATGAAATGAGCTTTATTTTCAAAGAAGAGCCTACCTTTAACCGTTTCCTGTAAAGGCTGTATTTTCTAATAACCAGTAGACAAGATAAATAATGTAAAGGAACACTGTTACGTTCATTTTCAAAATACTGTAGTCACTAGTCACTATTATTTTAGAGGTTTAAGCTTTTAGGAGGAAATCATAGGAAGTAAATCTCCCTAAGTTTGGATCAGTACTCACAGTGCCCTCCTGGTAATGACACTCATGAAAATCTTCCTCCTATTGACTCTTCCTACCTGGAATCATGCATTCTCGTCTGCTAATTCTTCTCAATAGCTAAGTTTCAGAAACCTAAAGGTTATTTGTAAGGACAATTTTTTATTATGATACTTTTCTGATCCAAATTTATTTTAATTAATTAATTTTGAGGCAGGATCTTGCTCTGTTGCTCATGCTAGTCTTGAACTCCTGGCCCCAGGCAATCCTCCCACCCCGGCCTCCCTAAGTGCGCCAATTACAGTTGTGAGCCACCTTGCCTAACCCCAAATTCTTCTTAAATTTCTGACATTTGGGGAATTTAGGCACCTCATATTTCCATGTTTTATTGATCAAGTTAACAGAATGTCGACTGTTTTGAGCACCACAACCTATGTGTTTTTTATTGGATACTACAACAAGTTAGAATAGTCGCATGTTCCAATTTTAAAGCACTGAAATATCCTATCATTGGTTGCCTGTTTCAATGAACTAATCTATAAATCTGTTAAGTCAAAGTTTTAGCTATCACCAGCATGTACGGGTCAAAGGCTCTAGGGGACAACCATACACACACAACTTTACCAAATCATCCTACTTACACACATATGTTTCCTGTAAAACTGATGTGTGGACATCTGTGGGGTTTGCACATCACAGCCACAACAGCAATCTACAAAGCAAAAATAAATTTTAAAAAGCTACCATAGAATAATTAATACAAAATTCTAGAGAGTGGTTCCCTCTAATAAGGAGGGAAAGGAATCCAGTCAGAAAAGTGAAAGTATTGATAATGCTGTTTCTTAAGCTGGGCACCATTGGGTCCAAGGGTGATCTTTTAAAAATATTAATATTAATAATATTAATAATCTTTAAGATGTATATATGTATGCACATATGAGTTTGTACAATATATAATATATTTTTTTTTTTGAGACAGAGTCTCACTATGTCGCCCTCAGTAGAGTGCCATTGCATCACAGCTCACAGCAATCTCAAACCTTGGGCTCAAGTGATTCTCTTGCCTCAGCCTCCCAAGTAGGTGGGACTACAGGTGCCCACCACAACACCCGGCTATTTTTTTGTTGTAATTGTCATCATTGTTTGGCAGACCTGGGCTGGGTTTGAACCTATCAGCCCTGGGTATGTGGTCAGCACCCTAACCTCTGAGCTACAGGTGCAGAGCCAGTATATAATAAATTAAGCGTGAAATAATTAATTTTTAAAGCCACAGTGATTCTTACTCTTTCCTTCTCTCTGATTTGTTTCACTAAAATACACTGTAAAAAAACCTACTCTATGCATTTCCATGAAATTATATGTAAACCTAACCTTTTGGAACTCATACTCCTGGTGGACACACTGGATCTCAATTTTTTTTATTAATTTATCATTAAAATCATAAGTCTATACATTTATGGGGCACAATGTGATGATTTGATACACAATGTTGAAAGCTTAAGTCCAACCAATTAAGACAGCCATCACCTCACTTATTTATTTTTTGTGTTAAGACATTTAAAATTTACTCTTAGTTGTTTTGAAATATACCCTTGCATTGTGCACATTAGGTGAGATTCCACCAAATGCCCTCCCACCTCCCACCAATCATCCCCCCTCTCCTTCCCCTCCTCACCCCTCCCTCTTGATAGACTATATTTGGGTTTTACATTCATATGAGTGTGTAAGTGTTTATTTATTGGTTTTATAATAGTATTGAGTCCACTGGATACCTTTTTTTCTATTCTTACTAATCCAACTCAATATTTATAGCAAGGACTATTAAGTCAGGAACTTTTTCAGAGGCTGTGTGTAAACTATTTGGTGAGGGGCAGCGCCTGTGGCTCCCCATTATGCCAGAGGTGGCAGGTTCAAACCCAACCCTGGCCAAAAACTGCAAAAAAAAAAAATTTTTTTTTTCCAGAGGGGTCTCCCAGAGACTAAGTGGCATAAGCAATGGAGGTGGTGGCAGAGACACAACACTGGCCACATCTGAATCATTTGGTCAACTAAGGATATACATTAAAGTTAATGCAAACCAGATTTCTCACTCAGAGGAGGAAATTATAACTCTGAAAAAGGAAAGAACTAGGATGAACTCCATGGGCTGGATAGAACTGAAGGTATTGTGAACTCAGAGTTTTCTTTTCTTTTTTTTTTTGAGACAGAGCCTCAAGCTATTCCCCTGGGTAGAGTGCCATGGCTTCACAGCTCACAGCAACCTCCAGCTCCTGGGCTCAAGCGAGTCTCCTGCCTCAGCCTCCACCAGAACTCAGAGTTTTCAACGTAAGTAGATACACAAATACATACAGATGAGAACGTGTTACATGAGGGCGTGTACATATGTAGTTGTACACAGACACGCCTCCTAGCTTAGTCCACTGAGAGGCTATGGGAGCAGCAACTCCCTAATAGAAATATGCACACGTAGCTCTAAGATCTTGATTTCTAAATACCGTTCTCCACTAAATGGAACCAGGGATCCTTAGAAAAATGGCTGATCCTGGGCAGGGGCAAAGAATGTACAAGATGAGCCTGGAACATTTCATTGTGCCAGAAAGGTAGAAACTGCTCAAAGAATGATTGGGACATTTCAAAAAGACACAGAAACCAGCTTGAAAGAGCTCCCACCCGTCAAATCTGGGATAATTTGTGCATCACAATAAATGGAGATGGCCAGGTGCAGTGGCTCATGCCCGTATAGTCCGAGCACTCTGGGAAGCAGAGGCAGGCAGACTGCGTGAGTTCAGACATAGATTCATATAGATCTACAGTTTGTATAGATTTTCAAACAAACATTTTTATTTAAAGTGATACCCACATATACCACTGATAAGCTCAGTCCAGTTCAATAATCTTTTATTGAGAGCCTACTATAGGCCAAGTTCTATGCTATTTTCTCAAAGAAACTATCAACTCCTGTCCCTCTGGAGTACTTACAGTTCCCTACATGCACCACACCCTTCCTATCGTTTCCATCTCTGGGCCTTAGCTCCCTGTGCCCTCGATCCTGTAACTTCCCCGGCCTGCTCTTCTTGGCTTATAGGTCAAGCAAGCCACATCTTTCTTCTGGGCCTTCCGGAGCCTCTTTAGTTGCAGGAGAATTTCGGTCCTCTGGACTCCCACAGCACTCACAATTAACATATATAGAATGACTCTGCACCATTACCTACTTCTCAAATGTACATTTTATAAGTAACAATTACAATAGAATCTATCAGTTTAAGATGGCCCAAAACTCCAGCACAGATAACACAGGGACTTCATTAGTGTGAATTTACCCCCTCCACCTCACTACCTAGGGGTTCCATGGACTTCTGCCAGAACAGACAGATACACAGGGTGTCAGCATGTCATGAGTTGAATTACTCACCCCACTGGCAGTTCTGATGGGTTTTGCCTTTAACTTGGGAACCAAGACCTTGCGATACTGAGGAGGGACTGCAGCAATGATGTCCACCAGGCGGGGCTGTGCAGAAAGGCCGTATTTGGCAGCTGTTCTGGTTTTCACCCTGAAAGTAAAGGATCTGGCATTATTGAGATAATAGTATTTTCAGGACAAGCTAATAAAATGATACCCTATAAATACCATCCTTAACTCCTATCACGCCTCTATCCTTTTACCTTGTGACAAGAGTGGATTTAAGGAAAGAGAAAGACAAAATTTGTGAATCAATGGCTTCTTCTTCTCACTATTGAGTAACAGAAAGAAAACCAGAGGAGAAGCGTCCCAGGATGATGATACTTTAGAAAAATTGGTGAAATATAAATGTCTGCATAGTCAAAAGAGGATAATTATTTACTCATTTATCCCATTAGCAAATGTTTAACAAGCGTGATGTTTGAGGAAGGTACAAAATACTAAGATAGCTCAAGTAACAGAGAGTAGGGTCTCAGGAAAGGTTATGCATGTGGTGACCAGATGAGCTGGGGTTGGGGGAAAACCCTGTTCATTCATATCAGGGAAGCTCTATATGGAAATAATACATAATAATAGTTTAAAAAAATAGATGCAGACATGAAAGACCACTGTGACTTGAAGGTGTAGCAAAATCCATGCTGAACACCAATATGGAAAGGACGCGGATGAACTTTTCAAAGAGATTCTAAAGCAGAGAAAGGCTGGATTAGATGAAGGGCTGCAAAGGGACGATTTCTGAGAAAGAGAGAGAGAGAGACATCGCTTCTGGACTCTGGAGATGGATGACCAAATTCCAAACCCCAGCTCTGCCAATCACTAGTTATTTACCCCTGGAAAAATTACTTAACCTCTGTATGCCTCACATTACCCATCTGTCAAAGGAGGCTGCAATCAATATCTACCTCATAGAGTTCTTGGAAGAATTAACTGAGGTAATATATAAAAATGTACTAATTACAGGGCCTGGAACATACAGTAAATGCCCAGTAAATGTCGGAACTCATTAGTATTATTAGTCTAGGAGACAATTCTGCCGCAAAGAAATGAGCGAGAAGGCAAAGCAGAAATCTAAAATTCTTAGATAAAATAAAGCAGGAAATAGCTAACGAGTAGTATTAGATAATTTCATAGACGAGCTCTACACCTAAGAACAGGGTTGCTCTCTTTTTACCAGTCCACTTACTTATTTAGGTTGATGTCTTTCCCCTGCTCATGGGCTTCTATCAGTTGTTTAATAACATCTCCTATAGTCAGCATCATCAGCTCTGCGTGGCTAAGATCTCCTGGAAAGATAATATTCAACAATGTCAAAAATCGTATTATTCAACAAAGATTTTAAACCTTGATTTAGTAGCAACTGTCCCTCCAAAATCATTCCAAATATACCAAGTGAAAAGCTCAAGTTTACAAGACACTAAACTTCTATTGTTTATAATTTGAGCCTATCTTTGGTATCTTTAATTTAAAAATACATATATATGCCTTCATCCACGTATGAGAAGAGGTCCCTTTAAAAGCACATACATGGGGCCGGGCATGGTGGCTTACACCAGTAATCCTAAGAGGTAGAGGTGGGTAGATCACTTGAGCTCAGGAGTTTGAGATCAGCCTAAACAAGAAAGAGACCCCATCCTAAAAATAGCTGGGCATTGGGTTGGCACTAGTAGCTCAGTGAGTAGGGTACCACCAGCCATATACACTGAAGCTGGTGGGATTGAGCCTAGCTCAGGCCTGCTAAACAACAATGACAATTGCAATAAAAAAAAATTGTTGGGCATTGTGGTGGGCACCTGTAGTCCCAGCTACCAGGAGGGCTGAGGCAAGAGGATCACTTTAGCCCAAGAGTCTGAGGTTGCTGTGAGCTATAATGCCAGGGCATTCAACCCCAGGGCAATTGAGTGAGACTCTGTCTGCAAAAAAAAAAAAGCACATACACCACAAGACTATTATGGATAGACACAAGAAATGATACAGAAAAGAGAGAAACAAACATGAGAGAGAGAGAACCTAATCATACAGGAAAACATGAGAACCTAATCATACAGGAAAAAACCAAAGTAGTTTTACTATCTTTCCTTGATCTCCAGATTTGTAATTATTAATATTTGCATGATAGTTAGGAGTTCATAAAGAACAATTAGATACATTAATTCAACTGATTCTCAGAACAAGATGAGTTAGATGCAACAGGAAGATTTGCCTATCCCATAAAGATGCTACTAAGAGGTGAGACTGAAACTCAAACACAGGTGTCTGCAGAAGTAGTATTGCAAAGGAGGAACATGAGTTATACCCCTATCTAATAAAGCTCTTAATGTATTTCTAAAATACTGTATAGCCTGTCCACTATCATGACTTCTCTTGATGAGTGGGGTTCCTCTTTTCACCAGAAGGCAATAACAGAAGCTGACATTTTCTCATATGATCTCATCATACAGGATGATCATAAGATCAATGATTGGTTCAAGGATGGGCATTTATCCAAGCCAGGCCAATCTAAGCTCTTTTCCTCCATGCAAAAAGTGCCAGTCTTTCTCTAGTGACAATAGTGGTGGGATTTCAGCTTGGAGGCTATCAGCAAGCATTCTTCCTATGGAAAAACCTAATGTACGAAGATAACAAAGCCATTATTAGACAGAGGGATGGGTGAGAAAGCCCTGGCAGTCACGGAACCCTTTCATTTAGTCTTTATCTCATTTGAAACCTCACAATAACACTGTAAGGCAGGTACCATCCCATTTTACAGATGTGAAAAACGAGGCGAAGGCAAGTTAAAACACCACTGCAAACAGCATAGTGAACACTCCAACCAATGCAACTTCCACACTTTTTTTTTTGCTGTACCACGTTGCCTTTAATTAAGGAGGCGAAGCTAACACAACACAAAACAATTCGAGAGAAAACATGTCCACCTATAATCAAAGGTTTAAATCTTTCCAAACGATGCGAGTCAGCACTCCAGAGTTCTAAAAAGGTGCCTCTGGGACCAAGTAACAGAGGCACGACCTGTGGTGCTAATGGTAGAGAAGAAGGAGGGAGAGAGGAGGAAAGGGGAGGACACCCGCGGGAAAAGTTGGGTTCGGCATCCGATCGCCGGAGCGTTCGCCCCTTTCGGATCACCCCATTTTCGCCTCTCCCTGCCCTTTCATACCTTTCCGCTTCTGCCTCATGTCTGCGTCGTAGCCGGCGCCTACCACGGAGAGTGCCACTAACTCAGACCGTGGGGAAATCTGACAGCCAGAAAGCAACCTTGCTCTGTCGTAAAATGACGGCCACTGTATCGTAAAGCTCTTCCCAGAAGACCGCGCGCGCAAAAGCCCTCCAAGTCTCCGGTGCTGTGGTAGGGGAAGTCAGGAGAGGCGCAGTCTGGGCGCTGCGGTTTAGGATATGAGGGCAGTAGGGGAGTGTCTTTGGCTGATTAAAGGTTAGAAAGCTCGATTTGGGCAGCACAGCTGTAGGTAAGGTGACCAAATTTTAACATTGGTAAAACGGGACACCATTGAGGGAGGGCGGGGCCGGGGGGCGGGGCCTGACTACCATGCAAACTTTGATAAGCAGTTCTGGATAATCAATTCTCAACAATTATTTATTATTAAAGTTTAACATTATAAAATTAACAAATATAAAACTCATATCCTCGCGAAATAGCCACATGGCAGCCGAAAACCGTATATTCCCTTCCCATTCTCCCTCTGTTTCCTAGCTTGTCGTGCATTCTTTCCAAAAATCCGGGTGGGCCGCGGGACAAATTGTTCAAAAGCGGACGTTTGCTATAGGGCAAAGCTTCTGGATGGAGGCTGCGCCAGGATACCTACTTGGGAGTGTGGAAGGAACCCTCTAGTGCAGTGGAATAAATTCAGAGCCTGCAAAAGACCAGGCAGGAATCAAGTAACAGTCTAACGTTTAGGCTTCAAGGCCAGTTGGTCACTCTGTTTTCAGACGAATAAATGGTACATGTCCTTAATAATAACTCTTGTCAAAGCTGTGGATGATATCTCTCTGGGAAAAAAAACACGCACAAAATTTTGCAGAGTTTGGAGGCAGGATTTGGGATAGTGTTTTTCGTAAACCCATCAATGATATCGTTCGTCCATGGGCCAGAGATTAAGAATCCTCTTTTGCAAGCTCTCCCTTAACTGGCACAACGTAAGGATCTATGGCACATCTTCAGAGTGAGGGGCTCAACTACAACTTGGACTTTACCTAACGAAAGCAAACAGTGTAACCTAATCGTTTGTATTCTCATGTGAACTTTGGGGGGGGGGGGACTTTTCTGTATATAAAAAAAAAATCCTTTTAGTAAGACAGGAATATGTGGTATCTTCAGTTCCTTCCTACCAGAATTGAGGTAATCATGAGTCTTTGACCCTACTATGACATTGAAACTGGCCTGCAAGCTTTGAGAGTTCCTGATTTGCCAAATTGAGTGGTATTTTTCTGCCCTTAATCTCATCCTACTACCAATGAATATAAGTTATCCTCCATGGAAATCTTTTATGATAGAGCCCTCCACTCTCTTGGTTTTTTTCTTGTACTCTTTCTGACTCTGTTTTGTGAACTTCTTCTGTCTCACCTCAAAATGTGACTGTTCAATGGGGGATGTTTCAACCTGGTCTCTCCCAAAGTGAGACAAGCTCCATAACTTTAAATACTGTGTATCTGCCTCCCAGGTTTATAGTCCAACCCCAATATCCCCCCTATTTGACATCTTGTTGGATTTGGGTGTCTAATATGTATCTCAGACTTAAACTGTGCCCCCAAAAGACCTCTATTGTTATTCCTCTAATCTCTTTCTCACCTAAAGTCACCGTCATTCACCTTGTCACTCTTCTTACCTTAGTATAGTAGTTAATTTTAAATAGGGGTTAGGGTAGATCCTATTGAGAATGTGATATCTGAACTAATACTTGATATCTGTGGAAAAAGTATTTCAGGGTGAGGGAACAATTAGTACAAAGGTCTTAGGGTGAGAGGATGCCTGTGTATTCAGGGAAAGTAAGGAGCCTGCAAGGTGAAATAGAGCTTAGAGAAGCAATGGGGGTCAGGTGGGAAGAGTGCAGCCCGTGTAAAACTTGCAGGTCATTGAAAAACCTTTGGCTTTCCATGGTTTGTATATTCAACCTAATAAACAACATGTATTTGTAAAAAAAATAAAAAAGAATTCAAGAAGAGAGGTGGAGAAAGGGGTTGGTAAGTTCCCACCTACAGTGTACATTGTGCAGGTAAATGGCACACTTCTGGGTGAAGGTCACAGCTGCAACTTGGACTTGACTTTACAAATGCAAACAATATAACCATTTGATATTATGTACCCTCATATTAATCTGTAACAAAAAATGAGTAAATAAACAAAATGCTGTTATTACCAAAAACAAACAAACAAAAACCTATGATTTTTACTTTAAGTGAGATAAGGAGCCATTGGAGTTTTTATTTTTTATTTTTTTTAGTCAAACAATTTTTATTAAGTTAATGGTCAGCAGTAAAAGTGCTATTACATGGAAAACTCCATATTTTGCATGTTTAATTTGTTTTTCACTGTCTTTACTTAGAAGGTGTTGAAGGTGGGACCCACTCCTAAATCTTCTTTCTAGTGGTGGAATAAGGTACATACTGTTCTGGGGGTGCCACTCATGTTGAATTTATGCTTTGTCCAAATACATTTACAAGCAGTAGGTGGTTTTGTTGTTGGAGGATCCTAAGTCATAGAGTGAAGCCAACGATGCCATTTGGGAGGCACCTGCTTCCATCCACATCCCAGAATGTGTTTTTCCATTTGTTTCCATAGTGTATATAACACACTGGTGACGGCCAAAATCGCTTGTTGTCTTCATAAGATTTTCTGCTGTATTTGTCTCCCCCTGCTAATGTACCAACCCTCACATCCTTTTCACTGAAAAGTATTTGTAGATAGCCACGGAGTCTGCCGTGACCACTGATCTGCTACCATTGGAGTTTTTAGCCCAGAAATGAAATGATTTATAGTTTTAAAGCATATCTGTTTACTGTGTTGGGATTAGACTGCAGGAGACAATAGAAGCAGGAGATTGGTTGATGGCTGGTACTTTACCCAAGACAGTGATTCCCAAACTTTGGTGCACTTTAGAATCATTTGGAGAACACTGAAAAATCATGATTCCCAATTTACATCCCAGGTCTGTTAATCAGAATATCAAGGCTGGGAGCCAGGCATTTGTGTGTTTAAAAGACCCATGGGGGATTCTAATATGCAACAGTTTAGGAACAAAATGTAGCCAGAGATTATTTTAACCCAAATCAGGGTAATAAGCAGTGGAGGTGATTAAGAAGTGTTCAGATTCTGAATATAATTTGAAGTTGTTTTGTTTTTTTGAGACAGTGTCATTCTGTTGCCTAAGTGAGAGTGACATGGCATCAGCCTCGCTCACAGCAACCTCAAATTCCTGGGCTCAAGCAATCCTCCTGCCTCAGCCTCCTGAGTATCTGGGACTACAGCCACCAGCCACAATGACCTGGTAATTTTTCTATTTTTAGTAGAAAAAGTATTCGAGTACTCCACAAAACTGTCAAGTTCAACTAAAATAAGGAAAGTCAGAGAAACTTGATGTCACAGCCAAGAAGAAGCCTAACAACTAAATGTAACAGGGTGTTCTGAGACCACAGAAAAGGAAAAGGACATCAGATAAAACCTAAGAAATCTAAATGAAGTATAGGCTTCAGTTAATAGTAACGTACCAGTATTTGTTCATTACTTGTAACAAAGGTGGCAAGCTAGTTTCAAACTCCTGAGCTCAAGGGGTTCTCCAACCTCGGCCTCCCAGAGTGCTAGGATTACAGGTGTGGGTCTGCACAATGGCCTGGGTTCTATTTTCTTCTCTTCTGTATAGCACTTTACCAATTTTTCTTTTTTGAGACAGAGTCTCACTTTGTCGCCCTCAGTATAGTGCTACAGTGTCACAGCTCATAGCAACCTCAAACACTTGGGCTCAAGTGATTCCCTTGCCTCAGCCTCCCAAGTGGTTGGGACTACAGGCCCCTGCCACAATGCCCAGCTATTTTTAAGGATGAGGTCTTGCTCTGTCTCAGGCTGGTCTTGAACTCCTGAGCTCAGGCGATCTACCCTGAGTGCTAGGATTACAGGCATGAATCACCTCACCCAGCCTCTTAAAACTTTTTTTTTCTGAGTTTTTAAAACATATGGATTTAAATTTTAAGTTTCAGAAAGAGATTTAAAGCTGTATGCCACTCGTTTCTGCAAACAATTCAATGTTGTTTTATTTTTGGTGAATTTTATTTACTTATTATTTTATTATTTCGCTGTATCAGTTTAGAGGTCCACCAGGGCTATTAGGTTTTAGCTTCTGCTTCACTTTCTAGAACATTGCAGCAACTACTTTATAATGTCAAATATTTAACAAAAGAATTCTTTTTTGCGGGGGGAGGAGACAGAGTCTTACTTTGTCACCCTTGGTAGAGTGCCATGGCATCATAGCTCACAGCAATCTCAAACTCTTGGGCTCAACTGATTCTCTTGCCTCAGCCTCCTGAGTAGCTGGGACTACAGGTGCCCGCCACAACGCCTGGCTGTTTATTTATTTATTTTTGTAGAGACAGGGTCTGTCTCTGGCTCAGGCTAGTCTCCAACCCATGAGCTCAGGCAATCCACTTGTCTCAGCCTCCCAGAGTGCTGGGATTACAGGCGTGGGTACCATGCCCAGTCAAACAAAAGAACTCTTAAATATTCACTGGAGGCACATTTCTCATCCTTTATTTACCAGAAATACTCTCTACCATTTAAGTCAAAGTCTCTAAAAAGGACATTTAGATTTTTTACTCCTTCCTTGTAATTAGACCCACCCGTCATTTCCTAGGGACAAGCCACTCTGTTTTTAAAAGCCCATCCGGTTTTGGTGAATTTTATTTTTGGTGAGTTTCGAGACTTTGCATCAAGAATAAGTTTATATTTATTTTAATCTCATCATCTGCCTCTCCCAGTTAGGAGGGGGTATCTTGGAAATAGCACTTTGTCCCTCTTGAAACTGGGGGTTTTTCCTGTCTGCCCAAGTGAGCCAGATCTGAATAGCCTTCCCCCTCAAAGAAAGGACAGTTTGGGGTACATGCTGCAATCTGTTTGGAAAGGAAAAGGCTGATCCTCCTGTAAGACCCCCAGTTCACATATAATTTAAATTTAAGTGAAAGGGGAAAATGGCCCTAATCAGTATCTGAGGGAGGAGACTGTGGTAAATAGCCCTGTAATGACAAGTTAGTTTCACTTCTGCTCTATAAACGCGGGT